AATGCTTGACCTCACTAGCCAGATGTGTTTTCCTCAGAGGAATAGAAACATCTTCAAAACATTCCATCAAAAATGACTACAGGTTACTGAGAAATAATAGAAAGTTTTTGTTTTGCTTTCACTTGGCTGCATTCAAATAAAAAAAGCTAAATGAATTAGATGGTTCTTTTAATTTTGAAGTGATAAAAAAGAATATCATATTATCATTTTAATCAGCCTAATTAAGTATTTTAACTCTTGCTTTTTCTGTTCTGTTGGGGTGTGCACTTTTTTTTTTTTCTTCCAGATTGCGGTTGTCCATCAGTAGTTGTAAATATTTCTCTCTGCCCTCCATCAAAGCTGACCACAATGATCTCATGTGTCGCCACCTGTTTATGCTTTCCAGGCAGGTAAAAGGTGTATAATGCATGTGACTGGAAGAGGTGTGATAAAAACCAATACACACACACACACACACACACACACACACACACTCACACACACACACTCCCACACACACACACACACACACACTCCCACACTGTAACACACACACACAGTAACACACACACACACACACGCACACACACAAACACTAGGGCTGTCAAAAAGAATTTCGAATATTCGTCAAATAAAAAAATTAAAAAATCTACATTCGAATGCAAAAACGTTGCATTGGAATTTTAGGTCTGCGTCAGCCGTCCGGCAGCTTTATCAGTGGTGCACGAAATGCGACGACAATGTAAGTGTCATTGCATTTGAATGCTTTTGTTAGCCTATCCAGTTGAACCCACTAGATGCGGCGCTGCTACGTTGTTCTTTCAATATATTGCGGAAAATGAGAGCATCAGTGTGCAGAAGATGTTGTTTAGGGCGAAGCTGAATCCAAGCCGTTCACACAGAACACATATTTATCATATTTTCTAGCGGGGCATCTATCAGCGTTGCACTCGCGTCTCGCACAAGAGAGCCGCATGTTTAGAAAGCCATGTAAAATTAATGTAAGTTCAACTTTTAAAAAACATGTCTAAAGACGTTATGGCGGTTTTCCCCATCCCACTGCATCTCATGTTTTTAAATGAAGAAAGTAACCTACTCTTTGTGTTTGGTTTTCGGTCCTTTGTATTAAACTATTCATACATGCATGGTGCTGTTTTTTTTTCTAATTAAGCAATTTTATTAGTTATATATGGTTTATAAACATTATTTTAAACATTATGCACTTGTTTTCAAAGACAGTCGTTCTATTACAATAATAATCCTGGCACACACACACACACAGTAACACACACAGTAACACACACACACACACAC